CTTCTCTACTAAGTTTCAGCGTTAACAACTCTGAAAGGAAACAGCAGAATCGTAGAGGGCAGCCGGCATCAAAAGTTAAAACACAAAAACTGTATAGGAATTTGTCCTTTGATACTGTAGATACACTTCGGTTCAACCCCACACCACAGGCAACAGGCAGCAGAGACATGTCACACAATACATCGGATACTTACAGGAGGAGGAAACCTTTGTTTTCTTTTTTATTGACAGCCCTTACAGGTTTTAGTTCTTCCACATCAGACTGTTGTTCAGTCATTAGCGCCGTCTGCGGAAAGCTCGCTGCGTTATGCCGTGTGTCTGCTCCTCTACCCCTTACCACCAACAATTGAAATAGACTCGCTCCAGCTTTTCCCTCCCCGGCACACAACTCTCTTTTGAAACTCCGGAGCAAATTCAGCCAAGCTCTTTGTCTCTGGCTAACCTGAGCACGTTCAAACTGGTCCTATTAGCTGGAGCTAATGGTCAAGGGAAGGCAGAAGAGGGCGCCCTCCCCCCCCCCCAGTAAAGGCGGGGGAGGGGGGGCGGAAGGGAAGGCGGGGAGAAAGCCTGTTCAACAAGTCTTTCTGAGAGAAGAAACTAATGAGCCAAGCAGGTGAAAACACGGCGCTAACAATTCACAGCGGCTTTACTCTTTAAACCATAAGCGTATTGGAATGACTCTGTACAACAGGATTTAATGATGTTAAACATAATTATAAAGCACTGAGTTTAGATAACTTGAGATATAACAACAGTGACAAAGAACTGAGGCAACACACCATGATCCTGTCTTTTAGGGGCTGGTCTATTACACAACTTAAATTATTCAAACAGGATGTTGCCTCATCGAGCACTGCCTCCTGATTACTTAAACAAAAGGTCTATTTAATGTTTTATATGGGAATGACAACGATGGTAAGAGACGCCAGGGACTGTGCCATTAACTCTTTACTGTCCCACAAAGCCAATTTTTGTTTTCAGAGCAGACAGCAGGCATGGAGTAGTGCTACCAATGACCAACAAGCTGGCCATGGTGACAAGTTTTTGCACCACCTTTATCACTATCTTTCTGACATTTAAATCCACTTAGGTATTTGTGTTGCACCACCTTTATCACTATCTTTCTGACATACACAAATACCTAAGTGGATTTATAACAGCAGCAATAACACACTGCATTTTTATAAACTTAAAAAACAACAAATAATCTGGGAGCACTTTAAAGATTAACAAAACATAGACTTCATGCATCTGATGTAGTGGACTCCAGCCCACAAAAGCTTATGCCCAAATAAATGTGTATGTCTTTAAGGTGCCACGGGACTCTTCCCTTGTGTTTGCTGAAACAGACTAATAGAGCTACATCTCTGAAATGTGAATTTTTATAGGGTCTTTCATTCTGAAGGCCCTCACTCAGGCTACATCTACACTGCAGAGTTTTTGTGCAAAAACTTGTAGAAAGTCCACACTACAAGCGCATTTTTGCACAAGAAAAAGTGCAGTAGATTGTCAGAAGACAGGGCTTTTTTCACAAGAGTTATTCCTCTTTCCACAAGGAATAAGCCTTTTTGCACAAGAGCTCTTGTGCAAAAGGGCGTGTGTGGACGGAAAAAGCACAGGCGCTCTGATGACCATTCTGTGAATGGCCATTAGAGCTTTCTTGCGCAAGAGCGTCCATGGCAGTGTGGATGCTCTCTTGCGCAAAAGCACATGGCAGTGTGGATGCACTTTTGTGCAAGAACTTTTTGTGGAAGATCTCTGCAGTGTAGATGTAGCCCCAGTGTGCCTCACAAAAGATTCCACTGGTCTTGCAAACTGTCACATCTGTCTGCATGGAGCCCTTTGGAAATCAATGATGTTATGTATGGGTACAACAATCTTCTCAAGTGCAACAAGTTGCAGAATCAGGTTTTGGAACTTATGCATCATGGAGCATGGTAGTCAGCTAGTAGGCAGTAAACAATATTTGGGGAAGAGGTGAGACATGAGGATATTTATTGAAGAACACTGGGAGAATCTGGGAAAATCTTCAATAGACTATGACAATATGGCTCCAAGTACAGTAAAACCTTTGTTATCCGTCACTCTATAAACCAGAAAACTTTGTTAACCGGCATTGTCCCCAGCCACAATACTGTCTCATCGTCAGGCGCGCAGGCCTGGCTTGGTTTACCATGATTGGCTTAACAATTTTTTATTTAAGAAGTACTAATCATCTTTAACTCAAAATAGAAATGTGAGACCAAATGCCTCATACTACAAAACTACCAATATTAAAAACTTGAGTTTTACTATTACTGTCCATTGGTTTTTCCTAGGTTGATGGGACCCTCAGATAACTGGAATTTTTAGATAACCGGAATGCCCTAATCCCCGAGCATGGTGGACAACACAGGTTTTACTATAATTTGATATTCAACATTAACTAAAGTCTTGCCATAGTCTTACTCAACAAGGATGTCCTGAAAAAGTCATGTCATTTCTATTAAGAATGCAGAGACATTTCAGGGTTTACCATAGTTGGGTTTTTAAACTCGGGGGCTATGTCTACACTGTCCCTCTTGCACAAAAAATATGCAAATGAGGCAAAGCGTTGAATATTGCTGCATCTCATTTGCATTATTAGTGAGGCTCCGTTTTTGCGCAAGAGGCTTTTGCACAAAAAGGAGCCATCTACACAGCTCCTTTTTGCACAACCCTCCCTCCCCACTTGCACAAGAGCTGTTCTTCCTCTTCTTTTTTTCAGGAAGAATGGCTCTTGCGCAAGCGGGGGCTTTTGCACAAAAAGGAGCCGTTTAGACAGCTCCTTTTTGTGCAAAAGCCTCTTGTGCAAAAACAGAACCTCATTAATTATGCAAATGAGGCACAGCGATATTCCATGCTTTGCTTCATTTGCATATTTTTTTGTGCAAAAGGGGGCAGTGTAGATATAGCCTGGCAGTATTTAGCATGGAAATTAGTAAGTCTGTAGTCACAAGATGCAACAATATCTCAAGCCCGCCTTCTCTATATTTACAAATAAGGGACTTGGCACCTTTAACATATGGGGAAAAAAGAGCACTTTTTGGTGTATAAAGGCGGCCTTTGAGGTGCTGGGTTTTTATTTTCCTGCTTGTAATCTAGAAGCACCTGTCTCTCTAGTTCGAAAGTTTTTTTGGTGTCTGGACAGTGAGTGCAATGGATGACATCACAAAGGCTAGGTGCTTGATCCTGTTCCTATTAAGTCAATAGCAAATCTCCCATTAATGACAATACAATATGATCAAGATAGTGAAAGTTGAGCCATGGCAATGGAAAGTGAATTGTTTATTTTTGGTTTATTTGAACCTATTGCACATCAATGTTCAATTCAAATGTTGGATAAAGGAAGCCTCTGTTCACATTCAACACCTTTGCACCTTCAATTATTAGCATTTTAGATCTCACAATGAACATCCATCAGACCTCCTATGGTCGTCG